ACAGAGAATGTTCAAAATGAATATTACAATTGAAATTGAGAAAAACAGAAGAAAAAAGATCAAAGGAAGGATAGAATAATATCGAATTAGTTCTCAGATAATGAGCTACTTACAGATAGAACCATGTTTACGTACCTCTCTCTTCAACACACAATTTACTAATATTCCATACAGTATGCTTGAGAAATGGATGTCAAGTCATTTTTTTCCTACTAATTATAGAATTTTGGGATTTCATTTTTTTTCTAGAGAAACCGCTGTTTGCTTTTTACTATGCCTATTTGTCTTTCTTATAAATTGACCAACTTTCAATCCTAGGATTTAAAATGGTGGAGTAGAGGAGTATTTGTATTAATATAATTGATCAATATAAGTAAGCTGCTTCGCATGACTAAACACAAGCAGTAAAAGACTCACTGACAGAGAGGACAAATCGATATGCTCCATACAGATGAACAAAGCCTGGATGAACAGACACCAGAACTGTGCAATATCCAGACTGTAGGACCACCCAGAACCAGGTGTTTCACTGCTGCAGAATTAATTTTCACTTTTTTCAGGAGATATTTGGAAATAGTGATATCACATTTGCTAATTGTGTATTATATGGAAATTTACTAATGAAGAAGCTAAGGTAGAGGACACACAAGTAGTGATTAACACAGCCAGAACTGAGCACCTGCCATTCTGACTCAAGGCCTGAAGTCAGAAATATCCCCCTACACATACTGACTTTGTCCACTTATTGCTATTTAATGTGTCAGAATTTAATTCATTAATGCCAAGAATAATTAAATACAATAATTTAAAATTTTATTTTTATGATTGTGTTAAAATAAATAAAATTTGCACAATTGACAATTTAATTTTTGTATCTTAGATATTTTTTGTGATTTTACAAAATACATGAAATAAATTACATGAAAATTCAACATTTAAAATAGAAGATAAAAATCGGACTTTGTCAGTATTGATAAAAAAATCTAACAATACATACCTCCATTACTACAAAAACATAAAATATAAACTTTAAATATTTTGAAATTAATCTTTAATGTTTCCTTATCCTCTACTTTTGAGTTAGTAATCTAAATAAATATTTTTATTGTCCTTCACCTTTATAATTATGTGCTTCCATAATAATATTTAAGTGGATAAACTGACCTACATTTATTATTCAAATTAGTATTCTTATGGGATTTTCTTGAAAAATAAATTTACTTAGTGTTTTTCTTCAATGAAATAAAAATATATCTCATAAAAGTATTTGTAATATCTAAAAAGAAAACCATAGTAATTTCTTCTCCTACAAATAATTTCTTTTTTCTTTAAAAAGTATTGCTATTGTACAACATGAAACATGTTAATATAAATCTCAAGCATCAGTTCTATAAACACTTCATCCTTTTTTGTTTTGTTTTGTTACCAGAAATCAAACTCAAGACCTTACTTGCGAGGCATACACACTGCTGCCAAGAGCTAAATCCATGGCCCTCCATCCTTTTTAAAAAGTAACCTAACAATTTGAAGTCATGGCACCTTTAGAAAACTTAAGACTTTCATATCAAGAAAGATGGAGTAGAAATACTTTTCTTCTGAGAAGAACAACTAAAATTTCTGGATACTACAATGTTATATACATGTAAAAGATATGAAGAGACTTTAAAAGGTGGAGTAAAAGAAATCAACTAGCCAGAAGCTTTTGGACCTGAGAAACAACACAGTACTGAATTCCTTAAATTTTCTTTCTGTGTTTTATATTTCAGTGTGGTGGCTGGAGAAAATGACAATCTGGAAATGCAATTGAATACCCACAGGAAAAGCCCCACGAAAAGCTGGGTATCCTTAGTGAAAGGTCTAAGAGAAGAGCCACCTAACAAGAGAGAAAAGTTTTGGACAATAACTATTTGGCTCCAGCCAAAAGCTACAGGAACAACAGAGTCTCTGTTTCTAGTAACAAGTAGCCAAGCCTAAGTAAAAGTCTTGACTTCATCCTTCTAGGTTTCAGTGAGTTTCTCTAACCTCCTGGCCAGCCTGGTGTTAGAAAACATCCAGTAGAGACCCAGGACTTTCACTCTTACAGAGCTACAAATCCACAAATGCAAGAAGACCAAGCAGGATACCACTTTCACTTCTTTTGTTGTTATTTTTGCTGTTGTTTTGAGAAGGGCTTTCACTATAAGCTGGTCTTGAACTCAAAATGCAACCCAAGCTGACCTAAAACTTGCAACACTTCTCCAGCCTCAGCCTCCCCAGTGCTAGAAGATAGGTGTGGGCCACAATACTCCGTTTGACTTCCATTTCTATCCTACAGAGTTAAACTCTCATCAACACTTCTCAGGAACAAGCCCCCTGGCCCACTGTTTCAATAGGGAGTAGTAATAAGGCACCCTTGGCATTCCTACTGAAAGGCATTATCAAAGGCTTACTGAGAAGAAGTTCCACCTCGATATGAAGTAACAAAGAGATTGTCCTGCAAGTATAAATGGAGACTGGAGAATCTGTACTACCACATCCTTCGACTGGCAAAAGAAGACAATGTCTACCCTTCCCTTGAAAACAAGGTGTTAGGTGAAGCCTGCTAAAACAACAGTGAAATGAAATATAGAATCTTAACCTGTAAATTTCCAGGTTTTTGTAGAAAGTCATTTATCACACATAGAAGCAGGAAAGTTTCTACGTGAATTAAGAGAGTACATACAATTCCAG